CCTATGGAATAGACACTATTATTATTACTATTATTTTTAAGACAGAATCTCACTCTGTCACCCAGGCTAGAGTGCAGTAGCGCAATATTGGCTCACTGCAACCTCTGCCTCCTGGGTTCAAGCGATTCTCCTGCCTCACACTGCCAAGTAGCTGGGATTACAGGCCAAGCTAATTTTTTGTATTTTTAGTAGAGACGGGGTTTCACTATGTTGGGCAGACTGGTCTAAACTCCTGACCTCATGATCTGCCTTCTCCTTGGCCTCCCAAAGTGCTGGGATTTTAGGCGTCAGCCACCTTGCCCGGCCAGAATAGACACTATTATTAATATTATACCCATTGTACAGATAATAAGACTGAGGGACAGAGAAGTTAAGGCTGAGCAATCCGCCTCCAGTGCCATGGGCTTAACCAGTACCTTATGTTGCCTTAGTATTACTCCACACAACTCATTCTCTCTACATACTGTAAAAGCAACAGGCTGGGTGCAGTGGCTCACACTTCTAATCCCAGCACTTCTGGGAGACTGAGACGGGTGGATCACCTGAGGTCAGGAGTTCGAGATCAGCCTGGCCAACACGGCGAAACGCCATCTGTACTAAAAATACAAAACTTAGCCAGGTGTGATGGCAGGTGCCCGTAATTCCAGCTATTCGAGAGGCTGAGGCAGGAGAATTGCTTGAACCCAGGAGGCAGAGGTTGTGGTGAGATGAGATTGAGCCATTGTACTTCAACCTGGGCCACAGAGGGAGACTCCCTCTCAAGAAAAAAAAAAAAAAGGCCAAAAATTATCACAGTGTGATAATGGCATAGAAATAGATTGCTCCAGTAAATAATCAAATAATGCAGAAAAATCATAGAAAAGCTGGAGGTATAAAAATAAAAAAATCATAAAATAGTAGAAAACGTAAGAGTTGCTCATAAGTGATATTGGAAAAACTGGCTAGTGTTTTTAAGTCAGTTTAAATTTACTTACACATCATCCATGAAAGAAAATACTAGAATAAAATAAACGCCTTTAAAGCAGAGAACTTAGATCTCTAACACAGAAGAATTAGGAAAAAAAATGAACCAATTTGATTACATAAAAATGTTAAATGATTGAATGTTTTTTAAAAACTCATTTTAAAAAGGTAAACAATAGACAGGAACATAACTGACAAAAATACGGCAAATATATCTTACCCATATTAATCCGCCCCAAAAAACCAGCATTATGATCCCAAAAATTGATCAAAAGTACAACTTGTAAACAAGCACATAAAAAATGTTCAGCCTTGCTGTATTAAAAGAAATGCAAAATACCATAAAGAGGTTCTGTTTTTCTTATTCTTTTTTTTCCCGTGATACTGTCGGCTGGTGGGATGGATGAAATTAGACTAATGCTCCCACACACTGTGTTGATAGAAAGTAATTTAGCAACACATACCAAGCACCATTAAAATGTTCATGCCCTTTTACCCAGTAATCCCACATCTGAAAATCTATTCTACAGATACAACCCAAAAACAGAAGAAAAGTTCCATGGACAGAGTTACTAATCTATTACTTATAACAGCAAAAAACAAAAAAAGAAAAGCAACTTAATTTAAAAAAAAAACAAGGAATAGTTAAACAATTTATGGACCAAACACTTAATAAATATTATATGCCATTAAATAATTGTCAAACTAGGCTGGGCATAGTGGTTCATCCTGTAATCCCAGCACTTTAGGAGGCCAAGGCAGGCAGATTACTTCCGCTCAGGCGTTAAAGACCAGCCTGGGAACCATGGGGAAACTCCATCTCTACCAAAAATACAAAAATTGGCTGGGCATGGTGGCACACACCTGTAATCCCAGCTACCTGGTAGGCAGAGGTGGGAGGATTGCTTGAGGCTGGAAGGAGGAAGTCACAGTAAGCTGAGGTCACGCTACTGCACTCCAGCCTGGGCAATAGAGCAAAACTGTGTCTCAAAAGAATAATATAGTAATAATTGTGAAACTATATAACTTTTTCTTTTGAGACGGAGTCTCACTCTGTTGCCCAGGCTAGAGTGCAGCAGCATGATCTCAGCTCCTGCAACCTCTGCCTCCCAGGTTCAAGTGACTATCCTGCCTCAGCCTCCCGAGTAGCTGGGATTACAGGTGCGTGCCACCACGCCTGACTAATTTTTTTTGTACTTTTAGTAGAGACAGGGTTTCACTATCTTAGTCAGGCTGGTCTCGAACTCCTGACCTTGCCATCTACCTGTCTCAGCCTTTCAACGTGCTCGGATTACAGGCATGAGCCACCATGCCCAGGCTTATATAACATTTTTAAAGCCTTATGCTATAATATCTAGTCGTACAGGTAGAAAGAAATATACAATTGTTTTCTTAGAGACAGGGTCACACCCTGTTACCCAGACTGAAATGCAGTGGTGAGATCACAGTTCATTGTAAGCTTGAATTCCTGGGCACAAGCGATCCTCTGGAGTAGCTGGGACTACAGGCATGCAGCACCACACCTGGCTAATTATTTATTTATTTATTTTAATTTTTGTTTTCTTCAGACAGGGTACTTGCTCTGTCGCCCAAGCTGAAATGCAGTGAAATGATCACAGCTCACTGCAGCCTCGACCTCCTGGTTTCAAGTGATCCTCTTACGTCAGCCTCCTGAGCAGCTGGCCCTACAGGTGCACATCACCATACCCAGCTAGTGTTTTGATTTTTTGTAGAAACGAGGTATTGCTGTGTTGCCCAGGCTGGTCTTGAACTCCTAAGCTCAAGTAATCCACCTGCTTCAGCCTCCCAAAGTGCTGTGATTATAGGTATGACCTACCGCGCCCAGCCCTGACTAATTAAAAAAAATTTTTTTTTGGAGACAGTGACCTTGCTGGAGACAGTTTCCCAGGCTGGTCTCAAACTCCTGGTCTCAAGCAATCCTCCTCCTTTTCCTCCCGAGTAGCTGAGATTTCCGGTGCAAGCCACCGCACCTAGCAAGAAATATAGAAATTTTAACAGTTGCTTTAGGGTGTGGGATTAAGTCACAGTTTTCTCCAATTTCTGAATTTATTGAAATGCCATCTAGAGCATGAGCTCTGGATTGAGAGAGACTAGAGTTCCCATCCTGGCTGCACCACTCACCTACCTGTTCACCCATCTGTCTGACCTCTGCCAAATTACATAACCTCTCTGGGACTCCATTTCCTCAGCTGTAAAGTGAAGACTGTAAAAGTAGTGACCTCATGGGGCTGCTGGGAGAATTGAATAAGATGATGTTGAAAAGAGCTTGGCTGCTGCACCTGTGACACAGTGAGAGCTCAAAATTACTCTGATCATTTAAAAAAATGTTAACGTATTGGGGCCGGGTGAGGTGGCTTACGCTTGTAATCCCAGCATTTGGGAGACCAAGGCAGGCAGATCATCTGAGGTCGGGAGTTCGAGACCAGTCTGGACAACATGGTAAAACCCTGTTTCTACTAAAAATACAAAAATTAGCTGGGTATGGTGGCAGATGCCTGTAATCCCAGCTACTCAGGAGGCTGAGGCAGGAGAATCACTTGAACCTGGGAGGCAGAGATTGCAGTGAGCCGAGATTGCACCACTGCATTCCAGCCTGGGCAATGGGTGAGAATCCATCTTAGGAAAAAAAAAAAAAAAAAAAAAGGCCTGGTATGGTGGCTCACACCCATAATCCCAGCACTTTGGGAGGCCAAGATGGGTGGATCACCTGAGGCCAGGAGTTTGAAACCAGCCTGGACAACATGATGAAACCTTGTCTCTACTAAAAATATAAAAATTAGCCAGGTGTGGTGGCATGTGCCTGTAGTACCAGCTACTCAGGAGGCTGAGACAGGAGAATCGTTTGAACCTGGGAGGCGGAGGTTGCAGTGAGCCAAGATCATGCCACTGTACTCCAGCCTTGGCAGCACAGCAAGACTCCATCTAAAAAAAAAAAAAAGTTAACATATTGGAAAAATAAAATTGGAATGAGGAATGCGCTTCACTGGTGGTGGTTTATTTCAAATTCTACATTTTCAAATGAAAGTTTAGTATTGCTTATTTTTCACCCCCTCTCCTGCCTTGGGGGCTCCTCTGTTTAGACGGCCTTCCGTGTTAACTAACTTGGTAAAGGAAAGGTTAAAGGAAGTAAAACACGGCTACTCTAAAACAGAACCACAGAAACACAGAGTCCCCGGAGCTGAGCTGTAAAGGAGGAGAAGCAGCCACACTGGCGAGTTCTGCAGCAGGAGCAGCACCACATGGCTTTAACCTTCACATTCTATCGAGAAGGGACGGAAGCCACATTTTCCAAGAAAACTTAAAGTGTGGACCTCCTGCATGGCTGAGCTGAACACTTTATTCCAATAGGAAATTAGAGTCAGTGGGACAAGGAAATAAAAAGCAAAAACTTAATTTCCAGAAAATAGACTGGGTAAGAGAGATTTTAAGGTATCTTCAGCCCTGTGAGATGGTGTGGGGGAAAACTGCCTCAACCAACCATATAATAAATAACTTCCCAGAAAAGCCACCAACTTTATCGTATTATTGCTTGAAACTCTGCCATCTGGGCTTCACAAGCATCTAATTTCAGACCCTCACACAATGTATGTATTGCCTAGATGTTGAGCACTGGGAGATTATCAGACCCTCTGCTAGATGACAGGGTACACTACAGTGCTGATCTCCTCCAAGGGGAGATGACTCTAGAACGTTCCAGGGGCTAAGCACTAGTCCAGCAGGCAGTTCTCTCCACAGGATCTTAGACATCCCACACTTGACAAAAAGAATGCACAGAAGGAGCCCTATTCACCCTGGATGGAAAAATAATACCCACACGGCTACTAATTAGTACCCATAGGGCTTCTTTTCTAAAGGACTTCATATATTAACTTGAAGTCAGCATTAATTATCTTTTCCTTGCAAGATGAAACAAATGACAAGCAGTGAGAAAAGACCATGCTCTTTCAAGACGTCAGAAGATGGGTTTCAAATCCTTTTTCAGCCCCCGCAAAAGCATGCATGTGGCCTTAGCTTACCCAGTCCATGCACCACGGGAGAATGTATCACACTGCCTTAGTCACACCAGGATCCACTGGGTCTGTAAGACATTGTACCTACTAAAACAGATGCACCTCTTCCCCAGCTATTCAAAGCTTTTCCATTTTGGTCTTAAATAATAGCCAACCGCGTACTTACTGCAAAACTCTGCTTCTCCTGCTTCTCGGGAGCTGCCGACCTCAAGTCAGCCACTCTATTCTGGGTTTGGTGCTGGCCTGGGAGGAAAACCACACTCGGAGGGGGCCGGGCAGAGAGCGCTTGAGCAATGCTTCACTCAGGAAGCAGGCGGGCTCTGCTTTCTCCAAGTTCTGTTGGCCTCTCCCTCTCCTGTCTCTCAGAATCTCTCTTTCTTACACAAACACACATGCACAAAGTGCAAAATCATATTTCCACCCTACTAGGTCCTGAATACTTAATTTGTACCTCTCCAAAATGTAAGGATCTCAAGGTGTAGGTGGGCTAGGTTCTAGCTGATTGCTCCCTGAGCTATCAAACAGATTTAAAAACAAAACAAAAATCAGTCTGCTTTTCACAAATGTATTTACCCTGAAGCTACAACCGTGCCCCACTAGCTTGCCACGGCCCTGTGAGCACCGCGAGTTCTAGGTGGGAAGGGGAAGTTGAGCTATGACCAGGAAGCATAACGCAGACAGGGGTTCTAGTGAGCCAGCTAAAGGGATCTCAGAGGTAGGCATCTGAAACTCCTAGGCTCCAATAATTTGTTGCATTTCTTTTCCATTCTAAATAAATCTTTTCATACTTAATTTTGACTTCAGGGACCTCCAGAATGATATGGGCATCCTCACAAAGCCTGGGGTCCATGTTCCCTGCTACTACGGATGGCCTAGAGTAAGCCCCAGTGACAACGGGATCTACTGCAAGAGGGAGCAAACACACTGCCCAGAAAAAAGCACGGAAGAAATGTTGTGAAGGTAAACAAGCAACATGTGTTCCATCCACAGGCACCAAGAACTCTATCAGAGGGCCTGGGTTAAGCTTGGTCACTGCCACAAGCTACACTTTAATTGCTGTTTTACTGGATAACAGGTGTGGAAGGCAGCCAATCTGCTCTTGCATGACAGAGAGCTCTTATATAGCAGGTGGCATGGGTTTGCAGAGCCTCTGTGACACAGAATCCCCATGTTCACTATAATTCTAACCTCCACACTCAGACTCTGTCATTCTAATCAACAGAATGAAGTAAGGAGCTGTGGTCAGGCAGCTCAGAGCCGGCCTAGCCTGGCATGGTAGCCCCGCTTGGTCAAGGTTGCTGCCTCTCATGGCCACCCCTCTTTGCCTTGAAGGAGGCAATAGGCATAATGCACTGAACCTGCTCTCGCTGAGGAGCTCAATTTGTACCTCTCCAAAATGTAAGGATTTCAAGATGCGGAATGGCTAGCTTCTTGCTGATTGCTTCCTGATATATCAAACAGATTTAAAAACAAGACAAGGGACAAGGAGCATACAGGGTCCCAACTCATCTGGGTGACTTCCCCCAGCATGTGGCACCATGGCACAGACACAGGAGGTGGTAGTGGTTGGGACTCTGCAGATGACAGACACTTAACTCAACTCTGCTTAAGCAAAATAGTGAGTTTGTTGGCTTTACTGATTTAGGAAAGTCCAGGATGAATTGAAGCTGGCTTTAAGCCAGCTAGACCTTGAGGTCCAATGATGTCATCAGGAATGGTTTTGAATCACCTGGTAGCTTCACTCTCCTAAGCTGGTGCCATTCAAACACGGGTGCTCTTGGGATGAGAAGGCCTTGCCCAGCAGCACTGCAGGACTGGAGGTCTTTAGCATTTGAGATTCCAGAAGAATAGAGTCCCTACCGGAAAAGAGCCTTGAGGTGATAAGCCATTGGCTGTGGATAGGGACCTGGATGATTGGCAGCTCTACTAGTTATGGGAAAAGCAGTTTCCAAAAGGAGAAAAAAGGCTAGGCAGAAAAAAGTGCAAGCCAGTCACTCAATAGTGTCTCATATTATTAAGCCTTTCATGTGATCATGTCTTAACTTCCCTAACAGACTGTAAATCTATTAATAGAAAGATACACACAAAATGTTAACAGTGCTTATCTCTCAGATTGAGGGGCATTTACTTTTCAAATTCACATTGTAGCTTTTAAATTTTCTAAAACAATTATTAAATTGTATAATAAAATAATATACTTAAATAAGTTATCACATGCTTTAAAAAAATCCTACTTACAACAGCAACTATCTATAAATAAATCTGGTAAGAAAGTTACAGTCACCCCCAAAATTCATGCTTTACTGAATGACAAAAAAGAAAACTGGTAGAAAAACATACCATGTTCTCCCAATGGATATTCATTCTCTGCAGATAATTTTATAAATGTGCTGTGATTTCAATAAAAATTCTAATTGGATTAGAAATATAAAGGACATTATTTATAAAATTATCCTAAAATTCATCTGGTAGAACAATTGATTATTCTGTATAGAAGCTATCAAATAACTTGATTCTTCTCTAAAGAAGAAAATTCACATACACACACACACACACACACACACCACTTGTACTACCAGATAGCAAAATAGATCAGAAAAGTAAAAAATTACAATGACATGGTTTAGGAATAGAAAGAAGAGCAGTGGATCATGGCAAAGCCCAGAAATAAGAAGTTAGACTATGACAAAGATGGCATGATTAGTCTAGGATAAAGAATAGATTGTTTTAGCTGAGCACAGTAGCATGAACTTATAGTCCCAGCTAGTTGAGAGGCTGAGGAGGGAGGATCACTTGAGCCCAGGAGATCAAGGCTGTAGAAAAAAAAAAAAAAAAAAAAAAAAAAAGACCACACTTCAACCTTGGCAACATAGTGAGATCTTATCTCGAAAAATTAAAAAAGAAAAAAGAAAGAAAATACAGGAGATTATACATCTGAATAAGGTAGGAGAGGCCTCCCTGAGCCCACAGGCAAAGGCAGAATACATTAAGAAAAAAACAGATGTGACTACTTGAAAATTAAAAACCTCTGAAAAAAGAACCCCAATATAAACAAAATGTAAATGTCAATGACAAGATGAGACAAACACCTGTGCATAACCTTTGGTTCCGTTATTCCATTTGTAGGAATGTATCATACAAAAATAATCGAATGTTCCACAACAGAACAGAGGCCTCAAAAATAATGCCACACGTCTGCAACCATCTGATCTTCCACAAACCTGACAAAAACAAGCAATGGGGAAAGGATTCCCTATTTAATAAATGGTGTTGGGGAAACTGCCTAGCCATATGCAGAAAACTGAAACTAGATCCCTTCCTTACACCTTATACAAAAAATTAACTCCAGATGGATTAAAGACTTAAAAATAAGACCAAAAACCCTAAAAACCCTAGAAGAAAACCTAGGCAATACCATTCAGGACATAAGCATGGGCAAAGACTTCATGACTAAAATACAAAAGCAATGACAACAGAAGTCAAAACAGACAAATAGGATCTAATTAAACCAAAGAACTTCTGCACAGCAAAAGAAACTTGTCATCAGAGTGAACAGGCAACATACAGAATGGGAGAAAATTCTTGCAATCTACTCATCTGACAAAGGGGTAATATCTAGAATCTACAAAGAACTTAAACAAATTTACAAGAAAAATACAACCCCATCAAAAAGTAGGCAAAGAATATGAACAGACACTTCTCAAAAGGAGACATTTATGCAGCCCACAAACACGAAAAAAAGCTCATCACCACTGGTCATTAGAGAAATGCAAATCAAAACCACAATGAGATGCCATCTCACACCAGTTAGAATAGCAATCAACAAAAAGTCAGGAGACAACAGATGCTGGAGAGGATGTGGAGAAATGGGAAAGCTTTTATACTGTTGGTGGGAGTGTAAATTAGTTCAACCATTGTGGAAGACAGTGTGGTGATTCCTCAAGGATATAGAACTAGAAATACCATTTGACCCAGTAAACCCATTACTGGGTATATACCCAAAGGATTATAAATCATTCTATTATAAAGACACATGCACATGTATGTTTACTGCAGCGCTGTTCACAATAGCAAAGACTTGGAACCAACCCAAATGCCCATCAGTGATAGACTGGATAAAGAAAATGTGGCATATATACACCATGGAATACTATTCAGCCATAAAAAAGGATGTGTTCATATCCTTTGTAGGAACATGGATGAAGCTGGAAACCATCATTCTCAGCAATCTGACACAAGAACAGAAAGCCAAACATCACATGTTCTCATTCATAAGTGGGACTTGAACAATGTGGACACAGGAAGGGGAACATCACACACCAGGGACTGTCAGGAGGTGGGGATATAGGGGAGGGATAGCATTAGGAGAAATACCTAATGTAGATGACCAGGTGATGGACGCAGCAAACCACCATAGCACGTGTATACCTATGTAAGAAACCTGCACGTTCTGCACATGTACCCAAGAACTTAAAGTATTTTTTTAAAGAGCCCAAACCATTAAATATAAGGGAAAAATAAATAAATAATCACGAATGAATACAAAGCTATCTGAGCAACAGTGATGAGTGTATCCTTGATTATAACAACAACAGTGGCAAAAAAAGAAATAATTTAAAGTCTAATTGGCTAGATTATAGTATATCCACATAATTAAGCCTTATGCAGCCATTAAAAGTGATAATACATATGATATAGATAATATATATCTAGATATGACATAGAAAAATCCTCAGCAAAATACTAGCAAATCAAACCTAAAAACGTATATAAAGGATTATATACCATAACCAAATGAAATCTATCCCAGAAATTCAAAGTTGGTCAAAATCAGTTAATGTAATTTACCATAGTAATAGAATAAAGGACAAAACCACATGATCATCTCAACAGATGCAGACAAAGCATTAGACAAAATCCAACAGATTTTCATAACATAAACACTGAACAACTAGACATAAAAGGGAACTTCCTCAACCTGATAAAGGGCAAGTTCCAAACACTCACAACTACCATTGTACTTAATGTGAAAATCTGATAGCTTTCTCCTA